TTTTTGAGTTCAAAGTTAGCTTTATCCTTCTAGAGAGTCTAGTCTACCATGTTGTTTAATCCATAGCAGAGAAGAAACGTGTCCATGACCTTTCCAAGAGCATTAGTCTGAAAGTGAACACAACAGAGTAACCCGAAATTTGAACTTTCCATTTTCCGCGCTGATACCCATTTCACTACCCACATATCCAGATAGATAAATAGATAAAAACAAAACTGATCCAAACAGATAGAGAAGAGTAGAGTTAAATAGAGATCCACAGATGTGTGTCTGTGCGGAAACAGAACTATAAAGCTCAGCGCAAAATACATAGAAATAGAAATATATATCAATATGGATATGAATAGCAAAAATAAATGTTTATATATATATATATATATATATATATATATAGAGAGAGAGAGAGAGAGATGGATAGATAGATAGTGGACAGGCTGTGATAGAGATGAAAAATTAAGCGAGAAATGAACAAGTTGAGATAGAGAAATATCTATGAAATTTATATATATATATATATATATATATATATATATATATATATATATATATATATATATATATATATATATATATATATATATATATATAAAACATTGAAAAGCAATCATCAGGCCCCACCTGTTGATTGCATTTTGCATGAAATAGCGTATCGCATATGAGTTCTGAGTTCATTGCTCACCTTTATATTTATATTTTCATACGCTCTATCTCTGATATTGAGCTCTTTTTCCCATAAATAAATTACTTAAAATTATATAAACTATATATATATATATATATATATATATATATATATATATATATATATATATATATATGGGGAAATGGATTAAATCCAGCATAGTTATTTTTATGGATAGTGATGTTGGAGTAGAAACTCTGCTTTTTAATTGAACATTATATTTATCCAACTACATCTACCAGCCTGATTTTTCTGACATATTGCTCTCTCTCTCTCTCTCCCTATATATATATATATATATATATATATAGAGAGAGAGAGAGAGAGAGAGAGAGACAGAGACAGAGAGACAGAGGGAGAGAGAGAGACAGACAGACAGACACGGTTGGGTAATGTTTTGCAACTCGTATTGAGAAGTGCAGAGTTCGAATTTCATTAAAATTAGTCATTACATTCACTTACGGGTAAAGTATGAATCCATTTCTTCTCCCTTCCCACACATACACATTACGACAAACTGGGTCCTATAGCCTTACGTGGCGAACGGTGCAGGAGAAGGACGACATCACTATAAGCAAATGATATATCCGGGTAGTCTGGTTGTTAATTCTAAGAACTGAGCTACTTGACCTCATACATCGAAAACAATAGGAGATTCCAATATATATATATATATATATATATATATATATATATATGTGTGTGTGTGTGTGTGTGTGTGTGAAATGCATTAAGTCCGACAATTATTTAATATATTTTCTGTTTATACGTTATTTTTAGAGATACAGTTTATTTAAGTAAATGGTCTTTTTTAATTAAACAGTATTAATTAAATTTAACGACCTGAACATTCACTTAACTAAATTGTATCTATAAAAATAACATATACATATATATATATTTGTTTAAATAAGTAATCTCCCTTTAATAAAAAAATTACCAAAACTTAAAATATGAATATTCACCACTAAAATAATTTTTTATTTTCCTTTTTTTACATGCATATATAAATATAATTTAAAAAAAAAAAAAAAACTGTAATCACAGCATGATATATAACAACGTTAACATTGTGATAACCAGGTATATTATAATGCAAATTGTGTAACGGTACTCAGCACCTGGAGATATGCTACCGGAAATCCGGTTGAGCTCTCTAGGGAAAGAGGGTTTTAAAAACCAGCGGCTCCTACTGCTATTAAGCATTACTCTTCAAGTAAATTGAATTGAGTTCTCGGGCCGTTGGCGTATTTTGAATAGAGAAAAGCGTTAAAATTCTCTTCCTTTCTGTTATGCGGTGATAGGTAAGATAGCAATCAGAGGACTAGAATGTTTGTGATACAGCGAAACAGTCTGTCTGTGGATGACTTTATATATATATATATATATATATATATATATATATATATATATATATATATATATATATACATGTAAAAATATATAAATTACCTGATGTGGGTATAAATTTATTTCAACCAGCGCAGTACATTGGCCTTATTCAGCTCTGGCGAATGAACTGTATTTATATTGGAAGCAGTGACTTAGAATTTCACTTAGACCTACCGAAAT